AAGATGGCTCAAGATAGCGCAAGATCGCTCACGATGGCTCCTAAGATGGTTCCAAGAAGCCCAAAGACGGCCCCAAGATAACTCCAAGTGGCCAAACAGCTCCCAAGGAGGCCCCGAAGAGGCCAAAATCGTCCCAAAACCTAAGGAAAATCAATGATTTTTGCTTTCTCGCCTTTTCGCTTCCGATGGCCATCCGAGGCAATCCCCCCAGCCCTCTGGGCGTAGGTGGTCTAGAACAGATCCTCTTCCACCCCTCCCTCTTCCCCCTTGGGGAGGGGTTTACCCCTCCCCCTACCCCCTCCCCTGGACCTGGACGGGGGGGGCCGCTGGTAGTTAGAGCGTCCCAGATGGCCCAAGACGGATCCAAGAGCGCCTCAGAGAACCCAAGATGAGCTCCAAGATGGCTCAAGATAGCGCAAGATCGCTCGAGATGGCTCCTAAGATGGTTCCAAGAAGCCCAAAGACGGCCCCAAGATAACTCCAAGTGGCCAAACAGCTCCCCAAGGAGGCCCCGAAGAGGCCAAAATCGTCCCAAAACCTAAGGAAAATCAATGATTTTTGCTTTCTCGCCTTTTCGCTTCCGATGGCCATCCGAGGCCTGGAGATGGTTCCAAGATGGCCCAAGAGGGCCCCAAGAGAGCCCCAAAAGAGCCCCAAGACGGCCCCAAGAGCGCCCAAGAGCACTCCAAGAGCGTTCCAAGAGGGGTCCAAGAGGCGATTTTAGGGGCTTCCGAGGGGGGACGCTAATTAAACCCCCCCTCTTGTTTGATCGATCTCCTCCAAGATGGCCCCAAGAAGCGCCCAGGAAGCCCCAAGAGGTCCCAAGATGGCCCCAAAATGGCCCCAAGAGGCCCCCAAGAGGCCCCCCGGAGGCCCCCAAGAGACCCCCAAGAGGCCCCAAGAGCCCCCCCAGATGCACCCAAGATGCTCCAAGAGGCCTCGGCGAGAATGCCTAATCATTGATTCTACACAGGTTTTAGCCACATGGAGGCCTCTTGGGGGGGGGCACGGATTAAGATGACTCCAAGAGCGTCTGGGAGAGCCCAAAATGACCTCCAAGATGGCTCAAGATATCCCAAGATGTCTCATAATGGCTTCCTCTGTGTGCTGCCCACTTCTCTGATCGAGGCAATTCCTCTGGGCATCGTTTCTGGATGGGCTGGTGGGGATTCGCGAAGCGACAACAATTATGATAATGATTCTACTAATAATAATAATAATAATAATAATAGGAGGAGGAGGAGTAGGAGGAGGAGGAGGAGGAGGAGGAGGAGGAGGAGGAGGAGGGCGTGGAGGAGGAGGAGGCGGAGGAGGAGAGGAGGGAGGACGAGGAGGAGCTCCCTGAGCTCGCAGGCTTGGCGGCCGCGTGATACAAGGACGCCACGACACATGACATCCACCTGCCGTAGTGGGGCGTCGAGCTGGTGCACGCGGAGCGTGGCCTCGACCAAGGTTGCCCTCTGTCGCCCGCATTTTCCGTCGTCACCGTGGCGGACGTGTACCTTGCCCTGGAGGCGGCGGCCGCCGTCGACCCCGAAGCGCGCCTACCTGGACGACAGCTACCTCAAGGTCACGCCAGCGGCGTTGGAGGCAGCGTGTGCCGCCGCCCCCGCAGTCGTCGGCCGAGTCGGCCTCCGGGGAAACGCGGTGAAGACGCAGGTGTGGAACCCTACGGGTCTGCAGCTCCGCAGCTCCCGGCGTCCTTGGCCGGAAGGTCGTGCCGCAGATGTAGTGCCTCGGGACCATCTTGCCCTTCCTGCGCGGCGGAACGGCGGCAGAAGGGCTCGGCGCCGACCAGGCGCAGATAAGCTTCTCGCCGACGTTGGCCCCCGCGGCGGCGACCCAGCACCTGACCGCCTACCTCGGGAATTCGCGCGGCTTGCGGGCGCACGGGCTCACGTCGCAGGACGAGGTTGTACTCGTGCGGACGTTCGCGAATTCTGAGGCGCTTCGCCATGCGCGAGCCCACCTTTTCAGCGAAGAGTGGTGCCAGGACTACAACCACAAGGCGGTGGGGCACTTGGAGGGCCTGCTCGGGGTACCTCTGCCGCCAGACGCGCGGGAGGAGCCCTTTCTACCCCTGGCTGGCGGGGGGTGGGCTTTCACAGCGTGACCAAGCGCAGGCTCGCCGCCTTCGCCGGCTCGTGGTTCGGCTGCTTGGCTGACGTCCGGCAGGAGCTGGGCGAGGCCAGCTTTGGGGCGTTTGTCTCGAGCTGCCCTGCATTATGGGGCGCGGCGGAGCGGGCTTGCAGTGAGCTCTGGCAAAGCGGTGGCGAATGGGACCAGGCCGCGGTGGAGCCGAAACGACAAGCGGAGAAGGCGCTCGCGCACCTCTCATTGCATGAGAACCAGAAGCGGCACTTGGTGGCGCTGCAGCCAGAGCAGGCGGCCCAGCTCCGCTCGGCAAGCGGCAAAGGTGCTGGCAGCTGGCTGCTCCCGCCGACGCAGGACGAGCGCCGCATTGCGGACGACCACTTCCTGGTGACGCTGGCGCTGCGCCGCCTCCCAGAGCCCGCCGACGACGCCTGCGCCGCCTGCCAGCGGCTGCCAGCGCTGTCGCGCGACTGGGCAGCTCTGCGGAGCAGACTTCGCGCGGGCCCCGACTCATCATGTGGACTGCCATGCCGACGTGGGCAAGATAGCGCGCCACAGCGCCATTTGCGACTGGGTCGCGAGCTGGCTCGAGGAGCGCAGAGCGAGGGGCGCGGGCACCGAGCAGCTCCTCCCTGCGTGGTATAGGACCCACCCTGACGGCCGCCAGGAGGCGGCGCGCTTGGATGTGACGTGCGTACACCCGGTCGTGGGCACCGCGTACGTGGACGTCGTGGTGTCCATCTCCGCGGCCAAGATTGCGACGCCGGCAAGGGGGGCTGGGCCTGGCGCGACGGGGGGAGCGCAAGCACCGCCGCTATCCTGTGGCGTCGTTGTGCGCCTTCGCGCTGGAGACGCTGAGCCGGCACGGGCGCGAGTCGCAGGACCTCTTGCGCACCTGGGCGGCCGGCGACGCGGCCATGCTGTCGGCGGAGCGCCAGAGCTTGGCCGCCGCGCTCCAGAGGGCCAGCGCCGACGCGCACAACACTTCGGTCTGGCTTCCGAGGCGGCGCGCCCAGCCGCACTCACTGAGGCGTTGAGCGCCTGACGGGCCGGGACGCGGCGGCGACAGCGCGGCACGCTGCGACAGCAGCCCTGAGGCTGCAAGAAGACGCCCCGCTACGGCGCCCGCTTCTCCTCCACTTCCTCCCGATCTCCCCCCCCCGTTCCTTCCCCGCTTCTTGCCTGTGTCGGGTGCGCGAGTGCCGAATGGCGGGGTCGGGAGGCTCTCGCCCCGCCGCCGCGCGCCCATCGCCTCCGTTTCCCGGGTTCTCTCCTGCTGTTCCCTCCTGCTCCCTCCTCTCCCTCTTGCTTCCCCCCGGCCGACTTCGCCAGCTGCGCCGACTTGGGTTCGCGGCGGCGGAAGTGGTAGGTGTCTCGTTGGCGCCACCTGCGTTTGCCCGGGTCGGGTTCTGGATGGGTTGGCCTCAACAGGAGGCCGACCCGCGCAAGATTGGGGACGTCATTTCCCTTAGCTGCTGCTGCTTTTGGCCCGCCTCTGTCCTCTGCCTTCCTTTCTGGTGCAGGAGGACGAGGAAAAAGGATGGGGGATGATGATCATGATGCTGCTGATGCTGATGCTGCTGATGATGGTGCTGGTGCTGGTGATGATGATGATGGCGGTGATGATGATGATGCGGATGATGATGATGGTGAGTTTGCTGATGATGATGATGATGATGATGATGATGATGATGATGGTGATGATGATGATGATGATGATGATGATGCGGACGAGGATGATGATGGAGATGCTGATGGTGATGATGATGAGGGCTGCTGATGATGCGTGTGATTATGGTAATGGCGATGGTGCTGATGATGGCGATGATGATGATGCTGCTGATGATGATGACGGGAGGATCAAGAAGAGGACGATGAGGAGGAGGAGGAGGAGGAGGAGGAGGAGGAGGAGGAGGAAGAGGAGGAATAGGAGGAGGACGTGGAGGAGGAGGAAGAGGAGGAGGATAGCAGGAGTAGGGGCAGGAGGAGGAGGAAAAGGAGGAAAACGAAAACGAGGATGAGGAGGAACAACAGGAGGAGCTGGAGCAGCAGGAGGAGAAAGAGGGCCGGAAGAGGGTCCACTGCTTATGACGGGGGACGGTCAAGAAGGGAAAGGGGGCGAGAGAGGGGACAAACGAGGGGAAGTGCCGATCAGATGAGGAGGTGGTGCCTTCTTTCACCCTAGCAGGTGGGCGCCACACGCACCAGGGGCCAAGGGCACGTCACCAACCCTCCTGGAAGCATTGTTCTTTCAACGTGTGACCTTGGAGTGGGAGGGCAGCCTGCCTGCGGAGTGACATCGGGTCTACTGGCAAGGGCATTCGCGCTCCCTGGGCGAGCAGAGGTACCCAGAGATCCCCACAGAGAGGAACGTGACCAGGATTAGGAGGCAACACATGTTCGGGGTTTGGCCCCGCTTCTTGCGTTTGCCCAGGGACCTGGCGAAAGGCTTTTTTCCTCATAGTAAGAAGACGGGGGATTGGCAGAGGGCGGGATCAGGAGCAGGATGAGGATGAGGATGAGGAGGAAGAGGAGCAGGAGGATGAAGGGCTCGGGGGACGAGAAGGGTGAATCAGGAGGAGAGGGAGGGGGTCGAGGAGGGGTGTGGAGGGAGAGGCAATGGTAGGGATGCAGGCAGTTCACCAGACCCTTGACTGAGCTGGGCGATGCCCGGACCAGCAGGTGCTAGGAGATGCCAGGGATCAGGAGATGCTCCAGTCTGCTCAGCCTTTTACCCTCCGACTCCTGAGGCCGATGATTCTGGCGAAGCTGCCGGGCGCCTTTTCCCTCCAAGGGCTGTCCACATCGCCCGTACGTCGTCGACGTATTCCTGGGGCGCGTTTCCTTGGGAGCTCCGCCCCCCTGGGACTGCGGCCTGTCAAACGATCAGCCTCCCCTCCCCGCAGGTGCAGGGCGGGCTCGTGGAGGAGTGGGACAAGCACATGGAGGCCTCCTTTTGTTCGGTCGCAAACCGTGGGAGCCTGGTATAACCTCGTGATACCTTCTTTAGAGTGCGCTAGTGCCGGTTGGCGACTGGAAACCGATGAGATAGTGCAGACTTAAGCGTCCATCAGCGTCGATCCAGCGTCGTTTAGCGCGAATTCGCAACAGCCAACAAGATGGTATGGGAGGCTCCCATGAGTTGCCGCAGAACTATTGGCCGTGCCCCACCCCTCCTTGCACGGCGGGGGCACGCGAACGTGTAGCACGCGCGGGCGCAGTCCGGGCCTCCCGATGGGGTCGGAGTAGATGGGGGCGAAGGATCGCGCCGCATTGCCGATGCATCGGTGATGGCTCGATGTGGAGCCTACTTTTCGCCACGCCGATGGCGCCGATGCATCGCCGATGTCGCCGATGCATGTCCCATGCATCAGCGATGCATCGACGATGGTTGCGCGATTCCCCGACCATATCTACTCGGACCCATTTCGGAGGCCTCCACTCATGTGCTTCCAGAAACCTGCTGGGCGGCAGCAGCCGCTGCCAGCATCCCTCAGGCTTGATGGACAGATGGATGGTTTTGACGCACACCTTGTTGCATTTGAGCGCGCTTGATCAGCGCGGTCGAGCCATAGTACGGGACTGACTCGCACCGTATCCGGCGAGCGTTGCACTCCTTTCCTTTGATTGTTACAGTCGTTTCATCTTGAGTGCCTGTTTTCTCATCTGCTCCCCTCGCCCTTCTCCTGTAGTGAGGGAGTGGAAGAGAGCAAGCGTTTGCTTAGCTGCCGGTCCCGCAGTTATCATCTCCAGATCCTTGCGAGATGTCATCACCTTCAGCACTTTTCCGCACCAGTCGCGAATGGCACAAGTGAGGATGGGAAAGGCGCGCCCTAAAGGTCAACACGAAGCATAGGAGGGAGCATGATGCATCCGGCCGGGCAGGAGGGGCAGAGGGAGGGGAAAGCGGAGGAGCAGGGGGAGAGGGATGGTGTAGAGGGATGAGATGGACGACAGAGCAGGGTTAACGAGGACGACGAGAAGGACGACGCGATCCTGGCGTCTTAGTTTTTTCGAGCTGAGCGCTCGTTCGGTCCTCGGGACCCTCACATATCGATCCGGTTCGAAAAATGACGCAGAAAGATGGGGTCTAGGGCTCCGGGTGTGATTTTTAGATGTTGCGTTTTTTTGCTACGCCGGATATCAGGGAACGGTGCCACGGCTCTCGTAGGCCCACGTCAGTGCAGCGCAGACGCAATAGCAGGACGACGATGAGGATGGCCGTCGTCTTTTCGCACCCCATCCGTGGGACAGCCCCCCCGTCGACGTGGCGGGGTCGCCTCCTTGGGACGGGGCGGGGCCAGCAGATCTCGGGCTCATCTGCCGTCTGCCCAGGCGCTACAATCACCAGGGCCCACGTGACCATGACAGGTTGCGCAACCGGGAGACATACGACAAAGCGTGAGCCTCCTCCTGGAGGTGGAGGGCAGTCGCAAGCCACAGAGGTATGACCACTTCCTCGGGACAGGTTGCTAGGCTCGGTTTGGCCTGGTGTTGGAGCAGTGGGCGCGGGAATGCTGTGAGCTGTTAAACACGCCCGGATGCGACAGGGCAGTGCGACTTGCGCCCATGCAGAAGCGGCGGAGCCAATCGAGCAGAGACAAGCCATCGGCAGGCATAGGCGAGCGGGGACGTGAGAGGTACGCCGCGGGCTGGGCACGGGCTCGCTTGGTTGCCAACGCGATCTCAAGGGCCGTCGGCCTTCACTACGCACGGCCACCCTGGCAGTGCATGCGCGGCGAACCGTGGACTGAACAAATTGGTCTTGCGTTGATCGGTTCGAGTGTGTCGCACCGAGCCGGCAACGACGGGCTCGCCCGCGGGTCCCGCGCAGTCAGGCCAGCTTTCGCAGGCCTGGAGGTTGACACCAGCACCAATATCGGCGATGTACCTCCACCGAGGGAAGAAGGTCCCGATCTCGGTGATGGTGGTAATATTCTGGGATCCAAGGTGGCCGAAATATTACCACCAACACCGAAATCTAGGATCATCTTCCCCCTCTGGAGGCAACCCCCTGTGTTGGTGTTGGTGCCTATTTCCAGGCCTCTAAAACTTTGCCCAGCACGCGCTTCAGCTTCTATGATCGAGGACGCCTGGGGCGACTCGCCGCGGGCCCCTCTTTGGGAAGCGGCTGTGTGGCCAACTCGGAGGCCATCTTGGGGCTGCCTGGAGCGGGAAGACCGAAGAGCGGGGTTTACCAGTCTTGATTCCGAGCCGGACAAAGGTGGCTGCAGATTCAAAGGTGGCCGAGCGGGGGCCGAGCGGGGCCGAAGGACAAACCAAAGGTGGCTGCAGATTTAGTGGCCTACGGCCCATCGCGCCACCGTGCCTGGATGATTGCCAATTCACCAGGTAGCATTCCCGCCCGCGACGGCGGCACCCTCTGGCATCACTGGCGGGAGGGGGCGTGGGATTGCGGGCGGAGGCGCTTTTTTTTGAGCTCAACGCCCGCACAGCCTCACACAGTCAGCAGCGACGGCTGGGAAATCGCTGCTGCATCCACCAAGCCACTAGGGCAAGGAGGTACAGCCACATAGGTGGCAGAGAGAATGATTAGTCAGAACCCGACTCAGCATCCAGGTCTCTCCTTCCCTCACTGCCGCCTCGAGCGGCATCAAGAAGGCGGAGGGACTTAGAGACGACGCTGAGCTCTCGGGCCTGACGGACCTCCTCCTCCGAGGGGGGGGGAGGCTCGACCGAGGAAGCAGGGACCACCTCCTCCTCCACATAATGGCTCACAGCTGGGGCCCCCTCGGCCCTGCTGCTCGAGGAAGGCTCCTCGGCCTGAGAACCAAACAGTGCACAAATCTGGTGAGTGTTCACCGTCACGTCCCGCTTCCTGGGGTTCGGATGAATTCCTCGGCAGAGGTCTCTCCAAGAATACTCAGCATGCCTGGAGGGCCGATCATTACAAAACTTCCCGAGGCCGTCAACACGCGCACCAGTGCTGTGGTAACGGCATTTCACGCAAACAAAAAGGTGCGAACCGTCACTGCAGGAGAAGGCCAACACGCGATGGCGCAGCGACACAAGCACACCTTCGTCGAGTTTGCTCCTGCCCGTGCATATACCAGGGTCAGGGACACCAGAGGCCCTGGAACCTAGCAAGCACACACGACAACGCCACACACCAGACCAGGGGGCCCAGTCGTGTCCAGGCTTGTCCCAGGAGAGCCTGGGCTTGGGGGCAGGCGGAATGTATTCGGCATCTGACAGGTCAAGACGGGGCCACTCTAGAAGAAGCTTGGCCCCCAGTCGACACACTGCTTTGGCAATGTCGATCCTCTTGCTGAGATCTTCACTGCCATTAACATCGGTCGCATGAAACGAAAGCGCTGCTTTGGCCGCAGCATCTGCATCGTTATTGCATTTACGACAAAAGTGTTCAAACTGATCGATGCCAGCTTCATCTATGTCTTTGTGATCAGCAACCTTGACAATATCAGAAATGCACGTGCCTTCTCGAGCATTGGCTTCCATGATTATGCCACTGTACACCCTCTTACCCGAGAGGCGCTCGACAGGAGGCAACTTGGAATGCTTAACAACATTCAAGCAATCAGAGTACAGAGTGGAAGGGTACTTGGCCATATTACCAGCCATGCCACGAGCTAAATATTCTCCAGCCTGAGGGGTCTGAGGGTATTGAGCCCACACAGGCCCCATCACCTCGCCTAAAAGGTCCCCTCGGTCGTTGTGCATCGTGATAGCCCACGACGCACGGCTGAGTTCACGAATTATGTGCCGCCTGCAAGGCCCATCGAGAAACAGCGAGCCCCAGACAGCACCTTCATGGGGAGCCTCTAAGCCTTCGGGGCCCTCGAGCTGATCACAATGCCAGCGGAACACCACATTACCTTCGAGACAGGGCCTCGGAAGGGCATCGGCGGGATGGGCGAGAGCCCCGAAGCAGAATAGGAGGTCCGAGTAGCCTTCAGCCTCAGTGTCTAGGGCCGCAGCTATGATCCAATCCTTAGCAAGCTCCGCTCTCTGATCGCACACATGTGGGCATACCCACAGACGGTGGTGAAGGGAATCGGGCGCACCGCAATGGACGCACTTAGCACAGACTTGATACCCACAGGAGATGGCACGATCTGGCGTCCAAATGGCGTTACACGCCAGAGCTCGCACCATGCCTTTTTCACTGGCAGAAAACTTGCTGGACGCAAGAGCGGCTCGGGGGACATCCAGGCAGAGGCGGCCTCCAGACGACCATTTGCAACCCAAATCCCTTTCGAGAGCTCTGATCATACCTTCCCGACAAAAAATGCACAGCAGAGCAGGGGAGGTCACTCCGAGGGGAATGTGGTACCCTCTGTCGTCTATGATGGTCATGACATTGTCCATATGCCACCCTAATCTGACCAGGCTAAGCCTAAGAGCGGAAACAGGACCCCCGACAAGACCCCAACTGATTTTGCTAAGGCCCCAGACGGCATTCCAAGAATCTCTAAGCTCCTTGAGGGCCAGGGAGTGCGGGAAGACCTTAGTCTGAGCAAGCCATATTTTTTTTCCCCACCGAAGCACTGGCGCGCAAGCAGCTCTCCAGGTGGGATCGTCAGCTAAAATACAGCAGGCAGTGAGACTTTTGCCCTGAGAAAAAGGCCGCACAGTCGAGAAGGCTTGTCTCCTCATCAATAACAGGTCGTGGTCGGAAACACCAACAATGTCGGCCCCGTAGGAACCGCCCGCAAGAGGGCCCGAAGAAAACACACGAAGAGTTTTACGCCCCAGGTCACCTGAAAGTCTCTTAAGCCTCGTGGCACGACGACGCATGGTAGCCAGCCTCGACTTGAGCTTGCTAGCACGACCAGACGCACGAATGGACTTGCCCGCCGCGTAGTCCACACCTAAGTTGACCGTGCAATCCTCAATCCTGCCTGCCAGACTGCCAAGTTGCTTGCCAACCTCTCTGGCCACAGCCCTATTGGAGGAGACCGTGCAC